ATATATATATATCGCTTCCGTGTGTCGGTGTTTCTCGTAAGAAATTGTAATTGTAATTACGTTATATCGAAAGGAGTTATATAACGAAGACTTAGAGAATTCCACCTCACCGTGTAAATGTATTGTTCCATAGTGTAAGCTAAGAAAATTGACGCGAATGTCCAAACAATTGCATTATTGCAACAAAACTGTAACAAGCGAGCAGTTTCAAAGTGGTGGAACCGAGGGGTTGCAGGTAACTCGTGCCGATTGTTCACATCGACAGAATTTCGAGAGAGAGAGAGTTTACGTTCGAATAATACCTTGTAAAGGATTGCAAATTAGTTCGAATTTGCCTTCTTCGATCAAATTTAATCGAACATCTAACGGGTATCCTTGTGCTATTTTTTTTTTTTCGATGAAAATTCGCGACGCTTTATTCGCGAAAAGATCCGAATTCGTTCCGGATTTTTTGCAACATTGTGTCTTGACGGAGCCGATTCAGTTTCAACGACGACGATTTTCACTCGATTTTTACTTGCGGAATTGACGTCGGTCATCCAGACGAGGCGCGTTCGCCCTCTCTGACGTCAATTCGAAGCGAGCTTCGAACGAATGGGATGAAATTTTATATTTAGCATCGCGGCGACGCTTTTATTAACACCGTAACCGCGTTATTTCCATTCAACGTAAAGGATTTCAACGTAATAAAATATATTCGATGAAATATACGCGCGTCTACTCAAAAAGCGGCAATTAAACTGACGTCAATCTCCGAACGTCGAATATTCGATACGTGTATATGTATATACAAATTTAACGTCGTTGTTATCTGCCCGTTGTTGTTTCGAGCGGATGATAAAATTTTGTTTTGCGAGAATAACAATTATCGGATAAGAAGTTGTATTAATGTTTCGAAATATGGAAATATGGAAATTGTTGAAAAGAAAAGGATCTAGAATTATTTTTTTTTAAATCAATAATCGATGTATTATACTCTGTTCTATCGAACACCATGCGCCAGAACTTTTATAACTTCCAATCGTCGAATAACTTTAAACGATCCTTCTATTTTCTCTTTTTTGTTAAACGAGCAACTTTCTGAACGCGGGAAAAAATTGTTCTTTCACAACAGAGCGATCAAAATTTCCACGAATTTCATTCAATCTCTCTTTTACAATTATCTTTTACAATTACATATTAATATCGTAGTATATTAATATCGAGATGGAAATGTAATCATTTAATTCATTTACGTGTAAAATAGATATTGGAAGCCTAACAATTCTAGTTGTTAAATTTTCGAAACCGAACGATCGAGTTACCTGCAACGAAACAACTCCTTTGAAATTGCATTTATATATATACCAGCTTTGAAAATTATTGTGGACGCGTCAATCCTATCTGTTTCACTGAAGATCGATGTTTTCTTTTCTATCGTTGGAGAAAAAAAAAAAAAAAAATACATACACACGCAGATGCTTTTTCGGCGCGTGGCCGCGTAAATTCGAGCCCCTTTCAACCAATAAGAGGGACTTGTTTCGTTCGTCGCTGCTTACACGATGTTCAATTTTACACGCGGTTCGAAGGAGCGTACGACAATCGGTCTAGATGATAAAAAAAAACGCCAAGAAATGCGTGCGTCCGTGCATCGGTGCATGTGTATATGTAATAATCTTATATAGACTAGAGAGAGAGAGAGAGGGTGGATGTCTAGTTCGCAGTGGCTCGTCTCAATTTCTCACGATATTTCGAT